GCTCCTCTGGGAGAGCCCACGGCAAGAGCTCAGCTGTGGAGAGGGACAGGAGGGGATTCAGGGTGACTCCCTGCACTCCCACATCCCAGTGCCTGCCCCATTCCCAAGCGTCCCATCCCCTGAGCTCCTCATTAAACCCCTCCCTTGTCCCCAGCAGGGTCTTAGCTCAGGAAAGGCTGTGCCAAGCCTCAGCACCTCCTGGGAAGCTCCCAGGGTTGTAACAGCCCCGGGCCCAGACATTCCCTCAATCCCTGTCCCAAACACCCTCCTCATCCCCAGAAACCTCCCCAGGCCCCCCAGCACCCCTCACCTGGCAGCAACCTAGGAGGAGAGAGCACCAAGGCCCAGCCAAGCCCTGGCTTTTATCTGCTTTCCCAGGGGAGGAGGTGGCTCTGTCCCAGCTGCTCCCAATTAACACAAACTCATCTGAGCTCCCCCAGGTGCAGCTGGAGGGGTCTCAGCTTCCCTCTGCTCCTCATGCAGCTCTCAGCAGCAGCAGGAGGGGGTGGGCCTGTCCCTCCAGGTAGGGTGATCCCCAAACCCTGCTGATGCTCCCCAAAACTCCCTGTTTGTGGGGTTGTGGCAGTGTTCACCTCCTGGGCTCCACCAGCTGTGGATTGCAGCACTTGGCTTTGGGATCAGGCAGATTCTGTGCCTGATGGGGGGCTCACAAGGGGGGAGGGTCTCAGGGGTCAGCCCAGGCTGCATCCCTGAGCACCCCAGAGTCTCCTGCCCAGTTTCTGGTGTTCACACATCCACCAGCAGCCTTTTCCCAGGCTGTCACCCGTGGGGTTTGTGGAGGCTGGGATGTGCTCCTGTGGTGGCATCCTGGACACTGGATCCAGCCCCCAGGGATGGCACAGAGGGGTTGGGCACAGCACTTGTGGATTGCTGCAGGGAGAAGAGGGCAAGTGCAGGGGATGGGGGATCTGGGGACCCCCCAGCCCCAGGAGGGTCCCGTTGTGCCCAAGTTGGGAAGCAGAGACAGAAGCAGGGCAGGTCTGGAAACAAGCCAAACTCATTTAAACCAGGTGAGGTGAGGCAACTCTTCATATTCTTACAAAAAAAATTAAATAAAGGGAAGGAACTTTCTTCCCTGGAACCTTATATATGTACAAAACCAACATTATTAACAAACACTGCTTTCCAAATCACTGTGCACAGGCATGGAGTGGTGGGGAAGAGTGAGGAGAACAGCAGCATCTCCCTCACACCCACAGCCACCCCATCCCCATGGAAAACCAGGAAGGCACCCACAGAAATCCCCCAGTAGCAAACACACCTTTTGGCTAAAATAAGCCAGTTTGGGTAGGGTCATTTCTACCCACTCCCCCCACCCCAAAATAAATATTCCCTGTAGTGAAATAAAAAATTAGAATAACCCTTGTTTTGTTCTCCCTGTGCCCTGCAGCAGCTTGAAGAACACCTGAGCAATGAGTTTTTAAGGCCTCTGCTGTGTACCCTGCTGCAGCCCCCCAGGGTGAGGGGCTGTCCATTGGTCCTGGCATGCCCACATCCCTCCTGGCATGCCCATAACCCTTGGAGATGAAAGGACGCCTCCTTCCAAGCTCTGGCAGCATCATTCCCCTCTGTGCCCCTTCAGTCTCCACCAAGGTGGTCCCTAAATGTGCATTTCCCATGTTCTCCTTTGGGACAGGGTCTGGAACATGAAGTGATTTGGTTTTCTTTTCTTTAACAGTCTCTTTAAGAGCTTCTTGCAGCCTTTTAGTTTAAATAAAAAGACATGTATAAATTACTGTATTTCAAGAAAAAAAATAACCCAAAACACATGACCTGAAGGCAGCAGCTCCTTATAAAGGTTAATCTAGAACATTTGTAAAATGTCTTCATTTATGACAAAACCAACTTAGTCCTGGGACTATGAAAGTCACAATTCCCTTGCCCCTGCTGTTGTGCCAGGTCTTGGTGGTACTTTAAAGGTGAAAATCACAGAGGAAGGGGATGTTTATTGGGAAAGGCATGGATAAAGCAGGAGGGGGATTCAGAGGAGAGAGGAGGAGGTGGGATGTCATCCCTGCAGTCCCTTTTTCCAAGGCTGGGGATGGTGGCTGTGGCCATTTCCATGCTCCTCTTGCTCCAGCTCCACTGGAACTCCAGCCATTCCCTCTCAGCTGGCCAGGGCAATCATGGATGGAGGCAGGAGATGCACTGAGAGATGATCCATTCAAAGAAAAGCAGCTCCAGCTGCCGTGAGGGGCTTGAGCCCATGCCTGCAGGCCCGGATAACCTGCCAGCAGCATCCCTGTGTGTGTCCTTGGAGCACCCTGAGCTGCTGTCCACCCTGAACAGCACCCCAGAGGGTCCCTGCCAAGGAATCAGCATCCTGGATGATCCTGATGCTGGTGGGACCTGAGCACCTGCCTGCAGGGCTGCTGGTGGTGTTGGCATCCTCAGCTCTGGGGACTCAGGACCTTCCCATTGCTGTCATCGTTTGGCTGTTGCCCTTGGCACATTCCTCAGTGCCTCCTTTCCCTTGATCTCTCTGTGGCTGTTGCTTTGCCACCAGTGCCTCCAGGCCAGGGCTACCTGGGAGAGAGGAAGGAATGATTAGGGAGGGCACACCTCCACATCCTGAATATTCCCAGCTCCAGCCCAGCCCCAGGAGCAGAGCCTCCCCAGCCAGCTCCAGCTGCTCATCATCACATGAAATCCACATACATACCCCTCAACCAAATGACAAACAAATCCCAAAAATTCCTAAAAACCCACTTTGGAAGAGGAGTTACTTACTTGGAAGGCTGCTGGCCAGTCTCTGAGCTTGAATCTGAAAGAAATAAAGGTGCTGTTAATGGCCTTGAGCAGCAACAAAAGGTTATCTGGACACAGCAGTGAAGTCATCAGCTGGATGGAACAGCCACGGGTGACAGGCCTGACCCTGTGCCCTTGGATGGGCAGAGGTGGCCTGGAACTGTCTGAAACCTCCTTGACATCCCCAGGATGAGTTTTCTCCCTTCCAGCTCAAACTTTCCCCCTTCCACAACCCACAGAGGGAAATCTGGGCAGAACCCTCAGTAGGATAGGGATGGTGAGGCACCTTTGGATGCTCCCCAAGAACAGCAGCACCTGGAGGGCAGGTGCAGCTGGAACATCCCAGGGACCCATCCCCAGGAGATGCCAGGGTACCTACCGAGCTGCTGCTGGATGGAGCTGTGCCAGTGCAGGTTGAGCAGGTCAGGGTAGATTTCAGGAAGCCACTTGATGGCCAGGAGCTTCAGCATGCGGGAGGTGCAGCTCTTCAGCTCCAGCTCCCTCAGGTGCCTCTCCTCCGAGAGCGTGGTGGGACGCAGCTCCACCTTGTGCTTCTGCAGCACTTGGTCCACAAAGCTCCCAGGCAGCTTTGGGAAGAGCTTCTCCTTCACCACATGGATGGGGATGAAGATGGCTCCTGCCCGTACCACGTGCGGGAAAGGGCAAGCGGACATGAAGGTCCTCAGCTGGGAGAGCAGCTTGGTGAGGAGCGCGGCCACGTCCTGGAAAGCCAGCCAGATCTCCTTGCCATTGCTGGGCTTCTGAGCATTGGGAGCCTTGGAACCATCTTTGGGGCTGGTCAAGGATTTGGGCATCTCCCCCAGCTCTTCTGCCAGCTCAGCCTTCTTCAGCCACTGCCGCAGGAGCTCCGGGGAGGAGCGCGACACCGAGCCCGAGATGGTGTCACACAGCAAGGTGTGCAGGGAGCTGAAGTACTGCCCCGAGGGGGTCCCTGAGGGGATCCCAACCTTCTTCACCACCAGCACCTTCTCCTCCTCTGGACTGGGGGGGGCTTTGGGAAGCACAGTCTGGGGAGGGTTTGGGGCTAGGGAGATGCTGACCTGCGGGCTTGGCGGTGGGAACGGGGGATTGCTGGATGAAGAGGAGGCTGGGGGAGCTGGAGTGGGGGTGCTGCT